CCCCCCTCCATCCTCTCTCATTTTTTTTCCCCGAGTCTCATTCACTCACTCTGCGTTCATCCGCGTAATTAGTATGCATTGCTATGCAAATGGATTGACATTTAATGGAGCTCCCCTACTGGTCTGTATAGTGAAACGAATGAGGGGGCGAACGAAGTCCCGGATAAATTTTCACTGGGGCAAAAAAAATACTCTCGTTAAATCGTTACATCCTGTCACGGTACATTCTATCCGAAACTGTCGACAGATTCATGGAACTGAAAAAAAAAATTGTACCGTGTATGAGCTTGTTTGTTGCGTTTATTTTTTCACCGAGGACTTCAATTAGTGAGTTGGTGAGAGGTGGTATCATTACGTATTTACGTTGTATTTTTGTAGAAGCGATACTGATGCGGCTTTCAACGCGGAAAAAATATAGCTGAAGCAGGAGTAAAATGTACTTGATTTAAGTGTATTTTATACTCAATTGGGGGATGGGTATTTCAATTCGAAGATGATTCTTCAGGATCGGGCCGGGTTGTAGCAAGCCCTCTCAACTGTAATATAAGAAATAATTCATTCATTTTTTATGAATCGTCAGCCAAATTGAGTAAAAGGATGGTCCAGTGATAAACTAAAATAATGAAACAATCACATGCTCGTGACAAATAAGTATTGACTCCCGCGCAAATGTCTAATCTCCTCCTGAGGAATATTGTCCCTCGTCAGAAAGAACGCGAACTTCTGATTCCCCTTTCTCTTTGAAGGCTGATTACCTCATTTTTTGTTACCTCACACGAAGATGATTCATCCACCGTTTTGTTGTCTGCCAAACAGACAGGATGCTCCAGTAATAAACTAAAATAATGAAACAATCACATGCTCGTGACAAATAAGTATTGACTCCCGCGCAAATGTCTAATCTCCTCCCGAGGAATATTGTCCCTCGTCAGAAAGAACGCGAACTTCTGATTCCCCTTTCTCTTTGAAGGCTGATCACCTCATTTTTTGTTACCTCACACGAAGATGATTCATCCACCGTTTTGTTGCCTGCCAAACAGGCTTCAGGATGATGTATTCGGTGTTTTGTATTCTGTTATAGATCGCGAGTGATCTATCATTCACGTTCAAACTTCGATCTTTTTAAACAGCGGATAAATCGACGTGTGTGCTGCCTGGAATCACTCCTCTGGGGATGTACATACTACACTCCATTCCACTTTGAAGGAGCTGACGGGGGTTTTCGGGTTTGATGAAGTTCGCTCTTGAAAATTTTCCTTTTTGCAGACAATTTGAGCTCTCGACTTCGAACTTCCATCGCTATCCAATCGCGTTGGCTTTATTCATCAATTTATTCAAGTGTTTCGAGAATTACTTCGAAAGGAATGAAGTCTTGCACCCGAAATAAATCTTCGGAAATCATAATTCACAGCAGAAGGACAATAAATAGTGCAAAGCTCACCTGAATTCAATAAATCACACCATGAATATACAAACCGTGCAGCTTTCCGAAATCGATGAAATCCACAAAAGCTCTGGAACTTCATTCCAAAACGAATGGAGCTCTTTACCTTAGAATGAAATTCGAAACAGCATTCTGAGGAAATCCAGGACATTCCCCCGGATCTCCAAGAGATTGAATAAACCCTTGAGTCTACACATGCAATCAATTCCACAGTCGATAGAAGAAATGGAGCCGATTTAAATAAATCAGAACACAAATCCCTTCTTAACAATGAAATTTTTATTGTCTATGTACAAACATCGAAGCAGCATCATCAGTTCAGACGACGCTTCATAGATCATTCGATGAGAGTCACCATATCAGGAGTTTCAATCATTCGTCTTCACATTAATCATCGATCTTAGTGTTAAATATACCATAGAAATTAGTCTCTGTTTATTATATACAACTCTCTTGAACCCTCAAACTTCTCGTGTAGATATCGTGGGTGCGATGAACTGGCAATGAACTCGGAAGAATTGGACTTTTGTGATATGTGAATGCAACAGACGAGCGCTAATATCTGACAATGAACACATGCACCCGAAATAAATTTCCAACAATCATTATTTATTACAAAGAGACAATTAGTGCGAAGCTCACCTGAATTGAATATACAAACCTGACAGCTTTCCGAAGCCAATGAAATCCAGCATTTTGAGAAAATCCAAGCCTTGAGTCTACCCATGCAATCAATTCCACAATCGATAGAAGAAATGGAGCCGATTTAAATAAATCAGAACACAAATCCCTTCTTAACAATGAAATTTTTATTGTCTATGTACAAACATCGAAGCAGCATCATCAGTTCAGACGACGCTTCATAGATCATTCGATGAGAGTCACCATATCAGGAGTTTCAATCATTCGTCTTCACATTAATCATCGATCTTAGTGTTAAATATACCATAGAAATTAGTCTCTGTTTATTATATACAACTCTCTTGAACCCTCAAACTTCTCGTGTAGATGTCGTGGGTGCGATGAACTGGCAGTGTACTCGGACGAATTGGGCTCGTAGCGTCGGGCCTCTCTACGTAGCCATTCGGGTAGATCCACGTGTCCTTGCCATGCAGAACAGACGCTGGTGATGGGTAATCGCTGACCTCGAGATCGTTAAATTCTTTCGCACGTTCCGGTTTTGCTGAGTAATTACCGCTCAGTTTGCTGGGGATAACGTCCGGATTCTCCTCGTTACTATCGATTATCGGGGACTCGCGGGGGTCCTTGAACCGCGCTGTTGGCTTGCTGACTTCCTTGACGGACGCGTAGTCGCGGGCTTTCTCGAGGGTCGAGGGCTGACCGCTCGGATCGTCTTTGTCGTCGCAGTGGACTATGTGCATCTGGGTCTTCATGGGGCGGGTCGCGTTGTTGCGACGGTAGAGGGTCACTGTTACACCCACCACCAGGATGCATATGGCTGTTATTCCGCCCGCGAAACACGCGACCAGGAGACTGTAGTCCGTGTCTTTGTCCGTGGAACCTCGACCTGGGGTGATAAGGGAGACAATGGTGATTGTTTGGCGGTTAATTGTCTTGGTGCACAAAATTAATCAGTTTATCAGTCTAGACTGATTCATTTTGTCCAAACGAGATTCGTTAACTATTAACGAATGGTAGAATGAAATGGTGAGGATTTGAATATGACGAAATTATTATTCGTTAATAGTTAACGAATGGGTCAGTTGAAAAGGGAAAATCGAGTCGAAGAAAGCTCAAATGGGCATTTGTTAATTCTTAACGAAGGAACATTTGGGGACACCGAAGAGACCCTCGACTCCCACCAAATCCATTCGTTGACAATAACGAATCCTGTCTATCCGTGTAATGAGCGGTTTGGGAGCTAATGCCAATTTTTTAAATATTTTTGGGGGACATTTCCGGTTGAGCGTTTTTATTGAACTTTTTTTTATTTTTAGTTTGATTTTTGGCTGAAGCTCATTGAGGCCGAGGCTCTTGATATTCAAATTCCTATTCAACCGTTTCCTATTCAACCTAAGAAACAATCCCACTAAAATTTCAACCCTTCCTTAACACTATATCGATACAACTCAAAGTAATAAAAAATAATAAAAAAACCCTCTCCAAAAAAATCAATGAACCCTACCCGCCCCAACAATAACTCCCCCTAATCCCCATTACCCTCTAACCACCTCCTCCTCTCCCCCCCCCTCTCTGCCCCCCGAATAATCCCCTCACACGACTCAGATGTCAAACGTCACATCCAGAGAAACTCAACGCCCTCCATCACCATCAAGGGAAACAGGATCGCAAAGCCCCGAAAAGTAATATCTCCAATTTCTCCACTGAGCAAAATGATACCCCCTCTCCAAACTGGTCAACGTCTCGAAGATATCATTCCACTCCCTCTCCCGAGCCAAACAAGAGAGAAAACGTGGCGTGCATCCAACAAGAATTGGCACAGTTCCTTACGTCGGAAGAAAAACCGTGACTGAACCGTTATCTTGATATCTCGTAATTCTTCATGTACTGTATCAATTGTATATATGTACAGAGGGATTGTACGAGTTTCTGGTGACTCTGCCTCATTCCAGGGGGAGTGGTGGGAAGATGGGTTACACCGCAGGTATTGTTCGCAGTATCGACGTGGAAATGAAGGTGAAGTGAAAAAAAACTTCCGTCGATGAAGAATGAAAGTTTTGAAGTGAAGTGAAGTTGTTTTATATCAATTCTGATTGGTGAATGGGTCAGAATAAGGGTCACAAGGTTTAGATTAAGGGTCGTATAGGTCTGATTAAGGGTCACAAGACTGAGCGTTCGATTCAGGGGCCCAAATAAGGTTAACAAGGGTCAGCATGAGGATCACGAGGGTCAGAATAAGGTCACAAGGGTCGGAATAAGGGTCACGAGGATCTGAATGAGGTCACAAGGTTTTTTTAAGGGTCATGAGGGATAGAATATGGGTGACGAGGGTTAGATTAAGGATCGCGAGGGTAGAGTAAAGTCCAAATGGGGGTCACAAGGGTTAGATTAAGGGTCGTATGGGTCTAATTAAGAGTTGCAAGATTAAGGGTAAGATTGAGGGTCCAAATAAGGGTAACAAGGATCAGAATAAGGGTCAGAAGGGTCGGAATAAGGGTCACGAGGGTTAGAATAAGGTCACGAGGGCCAGAATATTAGTCACGAGGGTCAGATTACGAGTCACAAAGGTAGAAAGGGGTCCCAAATGGGGTTCACAAGGGTTGGATAAGGCTCACATGGGTCTCATTAAGGGTCACAAGATTGAGGGTCATCTGAGGGACCAAATAAGGGTAACAAGGATCGGGATAAGGGTCACGAGGGTTAAATTAAGGGTCATGAGGGTCAGATTACGGGTTACAAGGGTAGAATAAGGGTCCAAATAGGAGTCACAAGGGCTCATATGGGTCTAATTAAGGGTCAAATGATTAAGGGTCAGAACCATGGAAAAAATAAAACCCTTCAATTCCTCAAAATTATCTTCTCTTCTCCCCCCTCCCCCCCCCCTCTCTAACAGCTATCGTGATATCTCATAATACTTCATGTACTTTATCAATTTTATATACGTACACAGGGATTGTACGAGTTTCCGGGGACTTTCTGTCTCACCCCAGAGGTGCGGGGATGGGTTACAACCGAGGTTTTGCTCAATGTTAAACGAGAGATGGCAATGGTGGAAGATAAGCAACGGCGGTGGCATCCGTCGTTTGGGGGGATAAACCCTCTATCTATATACATTCACACACGTTTAAGTCGTACGAGGATACGATTATTCCTTGAAATATACACCCCTCCAACGACCCGTATGAATAATCCATGGGAGTGGGAATTAAAGGCGATAAACGACCATACGAATGAGGAACATCTCTCTGGATACGGTGATTTCAACTGGGAGGAAGAATGGCGGGGGGAAAAGATGAGAGAAAATTTTATGGGATTTTAATTCACAGGCTAAAGCCCGTGGAAGGATCAAACGGTGAGGGAAGGGGGGGAGGGGCGGCCCAGTGGAAAAGACACGTAATTGCAAGACCCGGCGACTCTCGACATCATTAGTTTCGGTGTAATTAATCATAATTAATGAATTTTTTTCTCGGGAGAGGGGCAGGGCACATTGTGACGGCGACAAATTTCAGGATTTCCGGGGGAGGGTTTACCGATTTTTATTCAATTTCGGGTTCTCACTCAAGTTTTGAATGAAGTTTTTGGGACGATTGCAAATTGGGAATTTCAGTTCGATAATTCTATGAAAATTAATGTAAATCGTCAAAATTCAGATAAATATATTCTCCAATTTTTTATTAACTGAAAATTTCAATTGTTACCTGACAATGCTATTCAAATGAGAATTACTCTGGCGATAAAAAAATTGTACACTACAAACACATTTTTTTAAAATAATAACAGCTCACGTGCGAAAGGTTCCGAGTTCAAATCGGCCGGGTAGAATGGTGCGATCTAACCATTTAAAGTCTTGATCATCATCGCAGTATACCCTAACCGGGTCGAAGCGATGTCAAATAACGATTAAAAAAAGTTTAATAATAAATAAAATAAAAATTGACTGAGCGTTTTTTAAAATTATTAATTGGGATGAAGACTCACCAGTTGTGTACATCGCCACTCCCTTCAGTGTGATTGAGGACAGAACAACAGGCTCACTTTTCCCCTTGGCATTGACTGCGAAAACGAGGAGTCTGTAGTTCCTACCGGGCTCCAGGCCTACAACCTCGAAGATTGGGCCCTGATGTCGGTGGCCGGGGAGGCGTTCGGTGCGGTTGAAGTGGATTGTGTTGATGTGGTAAGCATTTTCCTCGCTCCAAACTTCGAGCTCGAAACTTGTGAGGGGGAGACCACCGTCGAAGCCTTCTGAGCAACGCACTATCAGCCATTCCGCATCGGTGGATTCCTGGGGTTTTGATTCTTCTTGGTCTATTTTGGAAACGGACGAAAAATAGGAGACACGATTGAGAAAAATTCGAGTGGAATGACAATATTTTCGGCAAGCTGATGCTTTTTATTGTTGTATTATTTTATTTTCATGTCATTGTTCTGTTTTCATTTTATAATTTCAGTTCTATTTATTTATTCAAACATTAAAATGAGCGGCTGATGTACATTAATTTCATTAATTCATTAATTGAATAATTCAATCAATTCTAAATGATATAAATCATGATCAAATATCGACATTGAAAATGAAATATCAAGTAAATCAGTCATCGTTTGATCACTTTTATTATCTCAAACAACTTGTGCCATTAAACTGTTGAATTACGATTCATACGAAATAAAAAAATTATTAATTAAATGGCTATTGTGAGCAGATGACATTTCTCATTAAACAACCAATTAAATAATCAATTTATTTATTCAAACATTAAATTGATGGTCTGATGTTTTCTCAAAATCAAATGTAGATTAATTTCGTTCAAAATTCATTAATTTGTTTGCATAAATAATTAAAACAATTGACGTAACCGAAAATACCTTAATTCCAATTAATTATAAATGACCTAATTAGTTTGAAATATGAACATTGAAAATAAAATGATAAATTAGATAAATCAGTCATCCTTTAATTATTTTTTTAATACCAAGTAACTTGTTTCATTAAACTGTTGAATTGCGATTCATACGAAATGAATAAATAATTAATTAAAAAACCATTGTGAACATAAAAATTCCCATTAAACAATTAATCAAAGAAAAATATCTAAAGTATCACTTTTAGTTTTTTTTAAATCAACCAAACTCGATAACAACCTCATCGAAAATAATAAAAAAAACGTCAAAATTATTTTCAACTCTGGGAAAACTCACTCGCACGATAGCCATAGGGGCCAGTGGACTGTGCAGTGGAGCAATTCTGCAGTGGATACGGCCTCCCAGCCTGAATAATCTGGAACAGACAGGGCGTCCTCTGCTTGCCCCTCGTATTCTCCGCCCAGCAAGACACCATACCATATTCACGGTCGTCATTCAGCGTGTAGTTGACTCGTGAGCCATGCCACTGATTCGCAATGCGTGAGTGGGACTTGGAGGGGCCATAGCGATCCGCGGGAACCGATAACTCCCCGGAATTATTAAACGACCAGTGGTACATCGAGGGTGCAGGTTTGGCTTGTACTGCGCACACCAGGGATATTGTTTCCGGCTTCAGAGCCCCAACCACTTGAATTGCTGCCCCCTCTTTGCAGATTGGTGCGTCTGCAGGGCACAGGATATTTTTCCCAATTTTTATTCTCAAAGATTTTATTGTCAAAAATTTTTTATTCATTTATTATTTTATTATTTTCATTTGGGGAAATCGAAAAAATAATCGTAACATTTTTCATCTCTCTGTTCTGAATGCCAGAACCAAGAGTGTATTAAAATAAGAGAATTTGTCAAGTAATAGTTTAATTGAATCCAATTGTGATTTAAAATATTTTTGCCAGAGCCCTCTTGACCAATCATGAGATTAATTGTGTCACCTGTTGTTGAAAAAAATTTTTTTGCTACCAAAATTCAGGAAAAGGGTAAAAATTTGAACGTTGGGGCAATGTTGGCAGCCAGCTTTGAGGCAATGTTGACAACCAACGTTAGGACAATGTTGTGGAAACCTTGGGGCAATGTTAGCTACCACTGTTGGGCCAATATTGGGGAAACCTCGGCGCAATGTTGGCTGCCAGCATTGGAGCAATATTGACAACAAACGTTGGGGCAATATTGTGGCAACCTTCGGGCAATGTTAGCTACCACCGTTGGGACAATATTAGGGCAACCTTGAGGCAATGTTGGCTGCCAGCGTTGGACCAACATTAACGACCAACATCGGCCCAATGTTGGCAACATAAATTTCCAATTTACGTTGCCAAAAATTTCTCTAAAATCCACCACTCCAATTCACCATCATCATCGACTCACACATAACTTCCAGCGTCACAGGTCGACTCGTTGAGGATCCCTCAGCATTGACAGCCGTGCATGCGTACTCCCCCGCAGATGCACGGTTGACACTCTGAAGAACCAGTGATTTTTCACCAGGAAGTCTAATACCAGCGCTGACATTCTGATGCAGTTCCCTTCCATCCTTGAACCATCCAAGCTTGTACGCCTCTGGGTTGGCCTTAACGTCACACTCAAAGTACACGTCGTCACCCTCGTTTATGTCATTCGCACGTAAACCCGAGCCGAGTCTGATGGTAACCACTGGTACATCTAGAAATTTATGATACACCTTTAGTCCACGAGATAAATCCTCTCATTTCTCTCAATCTTACAGTGAACAACGAGTTTCCATTTGTCTTCCAGTCCACTGTCCGGAACAATTGGGTTCTCAGCGCGACAGGTTAAAAATTTTCCATCGTCCTCTATCGTTGCCACGTAACTCAGGATACTTCTCGTCACGTTTTCAGTGTCCGTGAACTGATAATCAATTAATAGATTGGGGAAATCAGTTGGAGATTATGAGAATTGGGGAATTCGTGATTAATTGAATTTCGAATGGCTTGAAATAAGACGGCTTTTTCGTCTAACAAGCAGACATTTTACAGACAGTACATATTCATAATGTTTTGAAATTCAAGTCACCAAATTTAAAACATTTTTCTCGCGTCAGTCGAAGATTTATTCAACCATTAGTCATTTATTGGTCAGTTTTCAATGAATATCTCTGGATCTAAGGGAGTTAGCGAAATTTTTGTCAAAACCTTTTTTGTAGAGCTCATTAAGAGCTACAAAAAAGGTCATTACAAAAATTTCGCTATCTCCCGTAGATTCGTAGATATTACTGAAAATTCGTTTTCGACTACGAAAGTAAAATAAAAAATAAAGAAAAAATGGCCAAAATATTTGGATACCCTTAGGATCTATTCCGCCAACATATCCGTGGAATAGCTGAGATCGATAATGTGTCTTGAAAACTCAAAATGACATTTTCACATTATTTTGGAAATATCTTGGAAACAAAGAGAATAAAAATCAAAAAAATAAAATAAAGAAATGAAATATAGTAAAAATATTCAGAATAAAATATCTCAATATCTCGAGCTTGTTTTCTCTTCTTCACCCCGTAACCCAGTCCTCCTCGTCGCATCCCCAGTCTCTCTGGACTGAAAAACGATAAATCGATCGGGAAAATGCAAGGGAGAAACGACCGAATAACACATACGGAGGGCATTTTGATGCGAGTTGTTCTTTCATATTGAGGAGAGATAAAAATTGCTCACTTTTTTAGCCATATGCTTGACCTGGTGCGAGCCCTTCCACCAGGTGATTATTGCCTCGGGCTTTGAGCCCGATGTCGCGCACTCAATCTCGTATGTCTGGACGGCCAATAGGTGGTTCTGTTTATTCGTGATATTTACCTCCAGTGGCTTTACTGCACAAAGAATGTTTTTGCACTTGATTGAATTCACGTTGTGTTTATTTATTTCTATTGGGTTCGGTGGATTGGTCTCGGGGTTTCAAATTTTTTTATGATCCAGAGATTGCATTGTTGTATTTTTTTCATTTTTGGGATGATTGTTGGTGATTGGAAGACGTTCACGTGTTGACTTGTCGTGGATGTGATCACGAAATTTTTGCAGTAATGAGGGATGATGTGAAAGAGAGAGTAGTTTTTTAATCGACGAAGTTAAAATTCGTGTTTATTCTCCTAAATTTTAGTCGTGTCAATTGAAAATTCAACTCTTTACTTATTAATTTATAATGAATATAGTATAACATTCATGCTTAAAATTAATGTGTTAAATAGTCAATTTTTCTTTCTCATATTAAGAATTACTGTGTTCCCACAGTAAAAATAAATTTTAATTCTTTCCGTGTACAAGTTTTCCCTCAATTTCTATAATTGATCAACCGAGCAATTTCGCACAAGCCAGAATAGAAAATTTACGGTCGCACTGGAGGGAAAAAATATAGCGGTGAAAATTTATTTTGTCGTTTTTATTTCAACTTGATTTAGTGGAATATTTATTACAGTGAAAATTCAATGATAACACATAAATTTTATGGCACCGATCATAATACATCGGTGGAAATCTTGTTCGGAAAGAATTTATGATGTGATTTTCTCCACTTTATAAAAATGATTTGTACATCGAAGGGGAAAAAGGGGAATGTAATGAATAGAAAATTGGAAAAATGATTGAATGGGATATTTGTTAAATGGAGTGACGTGATGGATCCAATTTAATTGATTGCAATAAAAATTTCAATTGAAAACATAAAGGGTTTTGAAATCCTGACGAGAAGGATTTTTTTTATCGATACCAATTATGACGATTGCACGTGGTCAGTTTTACCCGAAATAGCAATAAATATATTGATATTTGGTTGCTTTCTTTTAATTTTTGCAATGATTACTATTGATCGGAAGACGTTCACATGTTGATTTGTCACGGATCTGATCCCGAAATTTTTGCACTAATGAGGGATGATGTAAAAGTAATGAATTGTAACAACGATGAAATGTTCTGTATAATAAGGTGAAGCTGTGATGAAATAGACCGTGATGAGTTGTCCAGTAATTAATTGGAATGATGAATTGTGCCGCAATAAGTAGAGGTGGAATACAACGAAACATTTTGCATTAAAAAAACATTCACCAAGTGACTCAATTAAGCAAAATTAATTTCTTGAATTAACATTATTCATCAAGGTTACACCAATTATTGTATTGGGTAACAGAGTAATACGTACGATTGACGTTGAGAAGTATCTCACTGGTGCTTGGACCAATCAGATCGGTATTCGAGGCTCTACACAGTACTTTTGTCGTTGCGTATTCCCTCGAAACCCTGGCAATGGTGTGCGTATTTAACATTACCTCGTCGTTGACAGGTTCGAACGTATCGTCCAGCATTTTGCTGCCCAAGTACCAGATTACTCTCGGTGGTGGTGATCCTCCCGTAACTTCGCAGACGAGGGTCAATGGGCCACCCTCATTCACAACTGGCAGTGTTCTTGAGTAGATTCGATCTGGGCCGATGTATATCGTAGGCTTGCCCGGAGGTACTGGACATTTTTATGGTAAACAAAATTTCAGGGGACGCGGTAAACGTTTTTCGGGGATTTCATCGACGATTTAATTATGAATGGAGAACATTCTGTCCCATTTAATTCGCATTTGCTTTCAAGAAAATGAGATACGTAATTTTAGTCACTAGAAATTTTTTTATCAGTTAATTCTTCATCTCATTCAACTTTTCGCAATTAAAAAAATTTATTCAAACATTAAAATATAAAACTCAATGGAAATGATTTATAATCTTGTTAAAATCCTCACCAATAACCGTGAAATTAACTTTCTGACTCTTTGTGGGGCTGTTCGTGAAGTCCACCCTGCACCTGTAGACCCCAGCATCAGTGGACATCACCGGGTTAATCTCCAACTGTGCCATTCCCTTATCTATCCTCATAGTCGCCCTGCCACCGAAGGCCTTCGGATCAGACCATCTCGGGGCATCAGCATGCAGACCACTCTTTCTCGCGTCGACCCTGAAAATTGGTTGCTTACTCGTGAACTCTCGGTACCACAGAATCATCACCACTGGGTCGTTCCTCTGAGGGGGCACTATATCACAGGACAGTCGCCCCTTGTAACCGGACACTGCTGACTGGCTTCTCGTAAATACTGGAAATAAAACCAAAGATTTGCAATTTTATTTTTCGGCATTCACTGGTTTCAGGGAAAATTTAAGGGCAATCACTCTGAAATTCTGGGAACAAGGTCTGATGAAAGAAGATGAGTGAAAAATTATCAGAATTATCATTCATCGGAGGAATTGTTTATGGAGAAAATTATTCCGTAAAATTATTCTAAATTATTCTATAATTTTGATTAACCCTGAAAAAGGGGTTTTTCGCTAGTATTCAGGCTCGGGCATCGATTTTCCCATCGGAATTGATCGGATATGTTTATACCGCATGAGCACATAATTATTCATCCATAGGGGACGGTGGGGCAAAATGAAACACGGGGCAAAATGAAACAGCAAGAAAATCTTGTGATCTAAGGGAGATAGGACGATTTTCATGGAAACCTTTTTTGTAGAGAATTTTACAAGCTACAAAAAAGGTCCTCTTCAAAAATGGCTTATCTCCTTTAGATGACGAGATTTTCCCACTGTTTCATTTTGCCTCGTGTTTCATTTTGCCCCATGCTCCCCTATATGAGGTGAAATATTCAATTTTTACGTGAGCATTCGCAAAAATCGCGTTCGGGGGGAAAGTCGACTTTCGGCAAAATCGAATTTTTCCGCCCAGTGAACGTCGATTCTGTATTTTCTGGCCCGTCTAATGCCACCGCGCCCCTTACTTGTCCCAGAAATGCAGAAATAAAAAAATATTTTTTTCACCCGCAGCCAAAGTGCCAAATTCCGGCAGAAATATCCATGAATTTTCAATTGATTTAAAATGCAAATAAATTAGGAAATTCTCGTTTTCCTCTCGCTCAAAAAATTTGAAATTTCATCAAATTTTCCGTGAAGTCTGAAATTTCAAGATTTTTAAAAATTAAAGGCCGTCGGAGGAATTCAAATACTAACGAAGCTAATTTATCCAGACAAAAACAACTCAAGAACTCCAAGATTCCTATTACAAACTCCAAAAATTCTGAATTCAAAAACCAAAAGTGCCTTAAAATAAGAGAAAACGCCTTAATTTCATTGCAGTTACGCTGAATGTCTGTGCAAATAACCTCCGATACCCCGCAATTCATTAATTTCCCCGTGAACCCCTATTTTTTCAACTCCCCAGACCCCCCAGTTTCGCGCTCTCCTCAGAGAAAGAGAGAGAGAAATTAAAAAAGTCTCCCCTGGTAATATCACGTAATCTCAGGAATCCTAGACGCATCCCTACCCCCGAAGGACTATACCCAGGAGGCGGCCGGAGTCTGGCGCCCACTCCACTCAACTCCGGATTTTCCTGCTCGCACCGCAAAATTTCAACTCCTTCCCCCTTCATCTTTTTTTCCCTCATTTCTCCCTTCCCCCTGCCGCCGCCATTGTTCTCCCAGTTCAGAAACCTAGTATTCAAGAGCGGAGTTACTGCAAATTGGCCGTAGCCTGGTCAGCTCCACAAAGTGCAGCACCACGACAACGAAAATCATAGCACTAACCCAATCGTTCCAATTCCCCGAGGGTTTTTTTTTTCGAAAAAAAAACTGCAGAGTATGGGAAACAGTAGAACAATCATGCAATAGTGCCAATTAATCCTCGGCATCGATTTATGTCCATTCGGTGATTTTTATTGGCCTCTCAACGCTCCATTTTGCCCATCAATCCAACCCAATACGTTCCACACAACTGCAGCACTAGGTGGAGAGAGATAAATTGGAGAATTACATGCCAATTATTTTCTGAATATCTTTAAATCGAGTAGATGTGACACTATTCGAAGAAGAATTTCCACACGGAGAGAAATTTTTGATAAAAATTACCTTACCGTTCTATAAAAATGTATCATGAGTCATAGTTTCTTCATTTTTATCCCGAAATTTAGTAAAAATTAACATATGATGATCAAATTTTATTCTACGTAAGAGAAATTTTATCCTGACGCATAATAAATTACCCTTCCAGTCCAGTAATTTTTATGTAGAATAACAACGAAAATTCTAGAACTGTTGGTAAATTTTACTCTACCAGCACGATAATTTTTATTTTTATGAGGATAAAATTTCTCTAACGTAGAATAAAATTTGATCATCACATATTAATTTTTACTAAATTTCGGGACAGAAATGAAGAAACGATGACTCATGATACACTTTTAAAGAATGTTAGGGTAATTTTTATCAAAATTCGTCCGTCTGAATTTTTTTGCAGCAGAAAAATTGTGTTATGTGAAAGAAAAATGTTTCCTGCTAGATTCGTGCCAATTAATCCCTGCCATCGATTTACGTCCACTCGCTGATTTTTATTGGCCTCTCAATACCCGACTCTCCCCATCAATCCCTCCAACACTTTCTGCACTCCTTCGGTCCCATTCCCCACTCAATCGACGCACAACGCTCGTTCATTCGTATCATTCTATACTCAATAAACTGTGAATTGCCCAGCACCGACTCGCAACCCCCGCAAACACCGTCAAAGGACATTAATCACCAGCGCGATCTTCCAATTTCCGGTGCTGTCACTTGCGAGAACACTTTTTCAATCAAAATAAGGCGAGAGAGTCGAGCGGAGGGGAGGAATTAAGGAGGTAACATTGCCTCTTTGACTTCTGTCCACCTGAGATCACTGAAATCAAGTGATTAAAACCCACCGAAATCATCTTTACGCATATTCAACTACTTTTCCTATTTTTCACTCAGTGAAATGCTTTTCTCACTTTTGTAGACAAACATCAGAGATTTCATTTGAGTCCCAGACATTTTACAATGAATTTATTATCTAAATTTTACAGGTTTGAATTTACATCTCGATATTGAATCGTTAGAAAATATTTTAAAAATCTGGAAAAAAAATTAGAAAGTTTACTTTTGGAGTAGAAGTGATGAAACAATTTGAAAATTGGAATTTTTGAAAATGACATGCATTTTCTGTAATTAATTCGTCTTCATTCAATGCTGTAATATGGAAATTAAGGAAAAAAAAACAATATAATAATAATAATAATAATAATAAATATGATAATAATAATTAACATAATGATAATGCAAAAATTATTATTATTATTATTATTATTATTATTATTATATAAAAATATAATAATAATATGAATAATAATAATAATATAATAAATAACTAATCATGATTAGTTCTCGGGCGATAGTTTATTGTAAGAAAATAATTTTTTTGTGTATTTTTCTTCCAATAAATTTTGTTGAAAAAAAAAATTTCTAATTAATAATGATTATCACTGAAATCATTATTAATTTTGATGTCATAATATTAATCATGGTGGGAGTAATCCACAGCATCAAAAGATTAATATCGAAACGATAAGATTTCAACTATTTTTCCCTCAATACTGGTCCCCCCTTCCCCCACTGGTACTTGGCTTTCTTCTCCTCGAAGGTGCTTTCATAGCATTTTCAGTCAGCTTATCGATACCGTAAATAAAGCGAGGGGGTGAATTGGCCCCTGGGGAGGCCGAGGGAATGGGGATTATTACCTTTGTTGTTAAAATCATCATGTTGAATCGCCGTATCACGAGCTCGGGGGAATGTGTCGGTGGGATTTGTATATCCGGGTTATTGGGGTGAATGATGGCGCGAGGGGGACGGGAACTTATGGTACAATCAATATTGGCGGGATGTTGGGGCACCTGTTTAGAAATGGTTTTTGGTGAATGGTGAAGGCGGAACGTTGACAGTGGAAACGACAGGATTATCTGTAACACTCTGTGAATTTGGAGGGTGGGAGGGAGTGTTTTATGGATATTTACAGCGGTAAATTTGGGATTAGGGGAGCGACAGTGGGAAATTATGTGATCCCTTTTTTATTCAAGGGGGAGAGGACGGGCTCTTCCGCTCAGATTTTCGCTTTCACAGAATATTGTATTATTATAATTATCTTGAAAGTGTTTTTTTTGCCGAAAGAATCGTTAAATATACTCCACATTTTTTTTCATTGAATCATTTTTTTCATTTTTCCAATTTTTCCTGAATAAAAAAAAATACAAAAATGAATAAAACAAAAAACAAATAAAATCCAAAATATAAATATAAAAAAAACTATCACTATATTCTCTTGAAAAGAATTATTATCCCTCCAAATGATTGATTTTACCTGTAATAATAACTGATGTTCAATAATAAAATACACCTATAAAACTGTGCACTCGCAAGGGCAACACGCAGTTATTACCCCCCAAAACCGTTGACACGCTTCTTCCCCCAGTTATTGACGCCGCTTCTCTCCTCTACATTTTTATTTACCCAAAAAAGTACACACAGCTCCATCCCCCTGTTTTTGTTTGTTATTTATACTCCCATCGATTCGAGTATCTCGTTTTGTACGTCACGATAATGACTGCTACACCGGGCAATTATTCACGACATATATTTCGCGTGGCTGCCCTGCGTACCCTGCGCCGTTGCTACACTATCGTTACTCCTTCGAGCGATTGTTTGACAGTGGCAAACACATTTGCCTGATTATCACACGCCAGAATGAACTGTTATTATTGTTGCCAGTTTGGGGTCGACATGTGAAAATAACGAGGTCAGCTCAATCAATCAATTTTCCTTATCATAAACGACGATTTATTAACGGAGTTTTTTTTATGAGACACTAATGCCCGTCATCTGGGCAACTTAATTGATGAGTTTTTGTCCGGAGGACCATTAATTTTTTCCGGAGAATTTCGACAGCAGCATCGTTAATGCCTATATTATCAATTTTTTATTCGAAACTTTTTGTTCATTTTGTCCTCTTCGTTGTGGATATTGTAAAAAGTAGAGTCTTCAAGACGTCTTGATTTAAGATATTGGGAACAAAAATGTGTGATGATGGAAATTTTGTCTGGATATATTGATGGAGAGCAATGCCAGTGGTTTTTGGGGGCGCGTTTGACTCAGAATGTCAATCGCATTGATTCATTACGCGGGATAGTGTCGTGATGAAGAGCTGGAGGAAATGATTTTGAAATATAGATGAACTGTACATCGGAAATATCTGAGGAATG